GCGGGAGCTGACGGCATCCGGGGAAGCAGCAAGCATCGGCTCCGGTCGTGCTGTATGTTCGCTACCCAGCGTGTAGCTGAGCTGTGGGTCTTGGAATAGGCAGCTGGGGATGCTGGGTTTGGGCTCAGAAACTGGCTTTTATTTTACCTTCGGAAATCTCACTTCTGACTTGGGAAGTTTGACTCCCTCTTTTGGGGGGGCATGGCGGTATTCTAGTAAAAATCACTAAATGCTCGGCCTTGTTTTATAGGACTCAGTGGCTGTTGGTGCTGTTGAAGATGGAATACTGAAGAGATGGGCTTTTAGTCTTACCTGATGGGTGTATTTTCAGGTTTTAATTATTATTCACGTGCCACTTTTTAGTGCGTTATGATCAGATGAGTGAAATTGGTGTTTTAGTAGAGTAGTATATATTGGCAGCGTAGCCCACTGAAGTCAGATTTGCTTTTTCTGAATCATTCCATCTACATGCTCCAAGTGCAAACTGAACTCCCTCCAGGTAACTCTGCAGTAGCAGATTAGTGCTGTCTTGTAAGTGTTGCTGCTACATAACTGAAATATTACTGAATGATGATTATCTGACTGCTTTAGATCAGTCAGTACGATGCAAACAATAACATCATCTTTGATTGTCTATTCAAGTATGCAGAATGTCTGTTAATCAGTGAAAGTTTTAAATAAACACCTAAAGTATACTTAAGGACCTGTTAAAAGATTAATTTCTGTTTCATATATAAAAAACACAAACCAGAAGGTACAGCATCTCAAAATACACACGAAATGCACAAATTTGTTTGGCAGCAGTGGGCTGGTTGACAGTATGTTTTTAGATTGTCAGCAGTGTCCTGGAGAAACAACTTGCCCAACTTCATTCTCCCTTCATCTGGCTCCGTTGAAGTTTAGGATGATCGGATATAACACAGTGGGGAGAAAAGGGGAACCCCTTGCACAGTCTCCTGTGGATGTCAGAAATACCTCTGGTTATTTGCTGACTTCAGTCTGTGAAATACCAAGATTTCTGGTCGGTTGTTTGAGAAATGAGATTGACTTTATTCAAACTGGCCACAGGTTGGTTTTGTTTTTGTTTTTTTTTTTTATATAAATGAATTAGTCAGTTTTGAATCCTGCTTGTTGGGCATGGGTCGTAATCTCCTGCGAGCTTTGAGGCTTGCGGGGTTGGCTGGCAGGCTGGTCTGGAAGGATGGGCTGGGTCTGCAGCCGGTGTTGTGCCTTCGGAAGGTGGAACTGAGGCCCACCAAGGCAAAGTGCTTAATCTGAGACATACTTTTAATGTTGTTTTTTTTTTTTTAGTAGAACAGTAGTACTTTTTTTTTCGCCAATGACACGAGTTGCATGTTAGTGAGTGCACCTTGTTTTATGCCAGGTGATATGCGTGGTGTGGATTTGAATGCTTTTCAATTCTTTTTGCGCAGCTATATTTGATTCCATAGCGAGAGTTTCTAAGAATATGATTAACCCTATGGGTCATCTTATAATGTAATTATTAATGATTGATTCTGTTTATCCTTGAAATCAATATGAGAAGCAAAATGGTTTGGCATATATTTGGGGTTGATTTCTAACATTCAGTAAACATGATCTTGTGACAAGACTAGAATTGGTTTATTACTCGGAACATGTGTGATGAATCTGAAGTGTGTAATTAGTTTTATATAATGATGGTGATATGTGGTGGTTTTTACATGACTTATGTTAATATGGCCAATAGTGTTAACATCTCCTGCCACTAATAGTTAGGGTGGGGATGTATAGTAATTGATCTTCCTGGGAGTGCTGTAATGTAAAAACAATTCAGGCTGTTTGAAGTATATTTTACAAGTGTGCATTGGGCCTTTGGGATGTTATACTGAAAAACCCAATTGTACAGTTACCATGGGAACCCAATTAGAATAGATTGCTTGAGTTTTTTTCAGTCTTTCATCTTGACCAAAAAAATCTAATGTACTTTAAATGTTTTCATATGGAATTTTATTCATATACTGACTTGATATAATAGCTGTTTTTAAATTTTAGTACTGAAACCAGAGATTATTACGTTCTGCGGATCCTGAGGACTTGTCTTTCAAGGAGAATCTTCCTTTAGTGTTTAAAAGTTGATGAAGTGGGAAAAATACTTTTTATGAATCTAAGAGTTCTTACCGTAGTGCTGCCATCACACGTACTTTTCAGGCTGCAGTCCTGTGAAAGGACACAGGAAAGTATCTTAAAACCCAAGGACTTCTGTTGTAGACTGTCGGCAAAATACGGCTGAGATTTTTCACAGCCTTTAAGGATCTGATTTTTGATGTAACCTCTGCCTTTTCATTAAATTTTTGGCCTAGTGACATATTCAAAGATTTGGAATGCTCACAGGGTAGGTCTGTGATGTATTGGGTTCCTGCACCATCTCATCTCCTACTGTGCAGGAGCTCCTCTTCAGCACCTGAGGGCATTTGTGTATCTTCCAGGTGTCTCGGGAGCATCCTGCTGCCTGGCTGCTTGTCAGCATGGCTTCAGCCTCAGCACAGCGTTTGTGTGGGAACAGAAGTTCTGGGGAACTTGGGCACATCTCCATTGGAAGGCCAAGGGGAGCTGAGGCAGGAGCTGTGATCCCACGGCACGGGCAAGAGGCGGGAGCTCAACAGGAGATGGGCTTCATAGCTCCTAGTCAGGCAGCTCTGAGCCACTGAGGATGGGGACAAATTGCTCGTTTTTCCCCTTTTCTGCTTGTGAATTGATCCCTTCAGTTTATTCTACTCTCTGCAAACGCAAGAGGAAATTCTCCGTTGTGGTGAAGGTGTTGCTGACAGTAAGGTTTCAGTCTTTTAAGACAGGTCCAGTGATTCTGGTGTCTCGGTTTCTGGAACGTGGTCCACAATGAGGTACCATGATTGAATTTGATCAGTGGCAATTCCTGTGCTGTTCAGAAGAGGTATTGGGTTCTTACCTTCAAAATCAGCCTTAGGGGAACCCTTCAACTCTATGTGAAAAGAAGGTAGCAGTGCATATATTGAACTCTTCCAACAAGGCAGTATTTGCGAGGTTGAGATGCGTTCTGGAGTGAGGTTTTGGACTTCCCTAGCCCTCTTGCATATAGCAGTGGTCTTCTATGGTTTTCCTTATCTAGCTGCAGGTAGTCTTCTAACCACCATGCCTTGGGCATCGCTGGCTTTTCCCAAGGTACCTGTCATCTGGTCAGGAACACTAATCAATCTCCGGCTCTCCGTAGGTACTGTGTAGCCTTTTGGTTAATTTGTCTTTCTCAGCCACCAAACTCAGCGAGGTCTTGGTGGTCCTAGGGGCTTCCCCCAGTGAACTGCCCTGTTTCTTGGGACTTAACCAGCCAGGAGTGAGCAGCTGTGGTGCTTGTGAGGTGCTAGCTACTCCTTTTGTAAGAATCCTTTCTCTTAAAGCTGGAACCCGCTTCCTATCCTCCTCGAGGTCTGATCTCCTCGAAGCTAGGCTTAGTTTCTCCATCGGGGACTGCATCCCTCGGGAGCTGTATGTGCTCACACCCGAAGTCAGTTTGGTCAGCAGGTCAAAAATAGCATTTCTGAAGACTTTAGCAAATACGCATGGGCGTAAAGTTTTCCTACCTTGTAGGAGAAGTTGGATATCTTTACTAATGCTTTTTGGAGACTGTTGCGTTGAGGGAGTGTGAAGGGGAATTGCCTAAAACTATTGAAGAAACTTTTGGTGACTGGTCTGGATTGACTCATGACCTCTCTGTGGATTGCACTTAAAAGTTTGTGAGCATCCTCATGGGGGTGCTGCAGAGATTTTTAGATAAACGTTAATGAATCATGTGGAACCTGGCTAGCAATTAAACTGCTGTTGTCACTACAAATTAGATGCTATTTAAAACAACAACTTGAAATTTAACTTGATTTTGGCATTCTGTGATCTGGCACTGTTTCCTTCATAAACAGGGAGAGAGACTGCGTTGCAAGTAAATATAAACCAACAATTTGTTATGAAGAGGGATGTTTCCTGACTAGTTTTGTCCCAGAGATGTCTGCTGGGCGCTGAGCTCCTTCACTCAGGATGGATGCATGCTGTCTGGCTGACCCAACGGAGCGGCCCTTCATCTGCCCGTGAGCAGCTGCTGTCTTGGAACCGTTCATTCCCCAGTGGGGAGCAAGTGGACCTCACCAAAATCCAAAGCAGTGCGTGCCAACAGATCAGCCAGTAGGAGATGGGAAGAGGGGCACAAGTAACTGTTAAATGGTAATTATTCCAGCTCTGGTGCCCCCAACATAGGAGAGACACGGACCTCTTGGACCGGTACCATAGGAGGCCCCGGAGATGCTGGGAGGGCTGGAGCCCCTCTGCTGGGAGGACAGGCTGGGAGAGTTGGGGGGGTTCAGCCTGGAGAAGAGAAGGTGAAAAAGGGGAGAGCTCAGAGCCCCTTCCAGTGCCTAAAGGGGCTACAGGAGAGCTGGGGGGGGACTTTTTACAAGGGCATGGAGTGATAGGATGAGGGGGAATGGCTTCAAACTGGAAGAGGACAGATTGAGATTAGACATGAGGAGGAAGTTTTTGACTCTGAACATGGTGAGCCCCTGGGGCAGGTTGCCCTGAGAAGCTGTGGCTGCCCCATCCCTGGAGGTGGTCAAGGCCAGTTTGGACGGGGCTTGGAGCAACCTGGGCTGGGGGGAGGTGTCCCTGCCCAGGGCAGGGGGTGGCACTGGATGATCTTCAAGGTCCCTTCCAACCCAAACCATTCTATGACTTGGCTCCAATGAAGCAAACACGCATGGGTGCTGGTCCTTCAGACAAATGGATCCAGGCTTTAATCATATTGAGGTTGCAAAAGACAGAGATGTGTCAGAGGAAGGCGATGGCTTTGCCTGTTCTGGTGGAGGTGGTAGGTGTGCCTTCTTTGGGTTGCTTGCCACGGGGCGAGTGCTGGTGTGACGGTGGCCGATCCTCGCTTTGCCTGGCAGAGGAGTGGCACGGAGGGAGGCATGTGCTGGCTCGCCTTGCCAGGAGCACGGGGAATGCCGGGCTGCCGTCGTCTCAGCACACCATCCCCAGCCATCTCGGTGGCTTCTCTGCTCCCTGGCCTCCTGGGGAAGCGTAGCAAAGACAGAGGACAGACTTACTCCTGGGTGTCTCTGTGTAACGTTGGCTTAATTCTGAGCTTCTCTTTGGCCCTTGGCCCGGGTTTGAAATGAGCTTCTGGATAAATCTGCTTTTCGAGGCAGATATTCTAGCTTTGCCCTTCAGAAAAATCTGAAAAAGCTGGAGTGTCGCTATGCTCCTTGGAAGTCAAAGCTCCGAAGTGACAATAGAAATAAATTGCTATTTTATTTTTAGCTCCGTCACAGATATTTTAAGTGATATTATTAGGTTGCTCATCTGCCCGACTTACATTTGCAAATGGAGTGAGTGATCTTTGCAATGCCGGTATGAGTATGATTGTTAGTACATTTAAAATACTAAGTATTCAGAATCTTAATGTTAAACTCTTAAAATAATTAATGTAATATTAAGATTAAATATTACTGTTTGCTTGTAAGTAGTTTGGAAGTGACTGCAAGTGCTGTCACTGCCTTGGATGTCAAGGCTTGATGCGTTTGAGAGGGCTGGGAAAGCCTCAGATGTTCATATCCTTTCTTTTAAGAGATTTATCATTTCTTAAGCAGATCCAGTTATCCTCTCCGGTGGAGTAGTGAGTTCCCCGACTTCAGTGGGAGATTTTCCATTGAGGTTGGCTGTGAGTCAGGACTCCGAGGCCGAGCTTTGGCAGATAGTCTCCCTGATTTTCAAAAATGTAATGTTTATAGCACATGTTGGCAAAGATATAGTGATCTTAGCTAAATAGCGCTGAAAGGAAAAAAAGGGGGGGTGGGGGGTGGAAAGCAAGCAAATGCCAAGGAAATGGCAATCATCTTGTATTTCGAAGGGGAGAGCAAAGAGGAACCTGTTGTGTTTTTTGTTAATGATGTATAAATACTGATACTGTTTAAGACTGGCATTGTGATAATTGAAGTTAACATTTCTTAGGTACTTTCTTGGTGTTTAGCGATTTGTACTTTGAAACCCAAAGTACAACTAAGAAAGTCACTTGCTTTCGTGCCTTAAATTGTGTTATTTCCTAAATCATAAAAGGCAGTGTATTTTACTAAGTGACTCAGAAGTGCATTACTGTCTGTACAAATATTTCTTAAATTAATACTGTGTCTTTTAAGGCATTTTTATTCAAAATAATTTTTATTCAAAATATCAGTTGTGTAGTGCTTGTTATGGAAGAAGTCTTCTATGTGCCATCTATTGATTTTTTTTGTTTGACTTGTAACAAGCAGTAGATGACCTAATGAACGTTACAATTCCTGGTTGCTTAAAAAAAAAAAAAAACAACCAAAAAAACCCAGAAACAAAAAAACAAAATCCAAAACCCCAAAAAACTCCAAAACAAAACTCCCTTTTCAAATTATATATACTGAAACTTAGAGCTCATTTTAAAAACTGATACAGAGTTGGTTCGAAGAGAAATGACATTACTGACAGACAATTCTTCCTCTGGAATTCCAATTAAATCTCAGTCTAACCGAGAATTTTTTTTTTCCGTACAGGTGGAGACCTTTCATCCACCATGGCATCAAGGCCTGTTCCAAAGGTAAGTTTCCAGTAAAATAGCCTTGCATTTAGGTGTACATTGGAAGTCCAGCATTACAAAAGAGTTCACGTAACATAGTTTGTTTTTTCCCCAGTGTCCAGCAGTCAGTATTAAGAATCCAGTTGACAAGATTGATGCTGCATTGTAAATCTCTGTAGCTCTGTCATGGTTGGTAACAGGCATCAGTGGACCTTTCCCCATCACGTATCTATCTTCCACAGAGCATAAACTAACAGGACAATGCTGTATTTTCAGTTACAAGTTAGCTGCTTCCATTTCCTAGTAAATACCTCATTTCTTGAAAACCAAACGGGCTTAATTTTGAGGCTTCATGCTTCAATGAAACAAGTGTAGGGCAGTGACTTTACAGCAAAACAAGAAAACTCAAGAAATTCAGAACAATTTACCTCACTGGAAAAAAAAGGCATCAATGCATTTTTAGTCAATAACTATATTCTTCAAATAATTAAAATGAACTTTGAAGGTATGAATACATTTTTTCTGGGGAATAACTGGTTTTGTAACATTAGTAATGCTCCTCTAGGAGAATACTTCTAGTATAATCAAACTTGCATGTTTAACTATTCCTGCTTTTTTCTTCCCTCACTGTTAAAAATGTCTTAATAGTGGCATCTCTTGTGGTTTTAATCTGCTTAATGTAATGTGGCTTAGAAAAGTAGTATTTTGGCATATTCTGTGTCTACCCCTCTGTAGAAGATTTTCTTTTCCATGAAAGAAAATGGTTCTTATTTTTTAAAATGAAATGGTGGAGGAAGACATGCAGGACAATAAAGTCTTGCTTTGTTTTTCTATTAAACAGGTATCTGTTTAGTTATATTTTTGTATCTTCCAGTTGCAAACATCTTTTAGCAGGTACCTACAATAATGGCAGAGAAATACTTGATTATCTTCTGCACAACCGGGCACGGTAGGAAGAATCGCTGGTTGCCTCTCATTCAAAGCTGGGTGCGATCGAGCTGGCGAGCGACACGAAACTAATAATTTATTATCTAACCTTTTCATTTCTCCCACTCTCACTTCTAGTTGAAAGGTGCAGCATTAGCTGTTAGGGGAGTTTTCCCCTTTTGATATGTGGAAAGGCAGAAGGTTTAAGGTAAAAGACGCGAACTGTCGCAGCCCCATCTGCCGCGGGGAGCGGAGCTGCGCCGGCGGCTGTGCAGACGCAGCCCGGGCTCCTCCGCTGTCTCCTCTTGTTCCCCCATTCCATACGCATATTAATGCGTGCGATGGAGCTCATGTTTCTTTAGACTGATGATATTGATAGCGTGTGATTAGTTTACAGTTTTACTTTGAGCACAACCACGCGTTGGTGTGACACACCATACACGCCTGGCATGTGTTTTTTGCAGAAATCGATTATCACCGACGTAACGCGTTGAACAGTTTTTAGGAAGTTGCTGAAAAATGGTTGCTGAAAGCAGCCGGACGTGGGCATTTTCCACGATTGTCGTATTTGTCTCCCTGATTCCGCAGCCGTGTTACGGTGACCGGAGATGTATGTTGGGTTTGCGTGGAAGAGGCTGAAACGCGGCCGTAGTTATGTGTGCGAGCGGACATCAGGAACGGCGCTATGGTTGGGAGCATTGTGGGTTCGTGGGGTTCTTACAGCAACAGGGCGATTCTTCTGTTTCATGAGAAATTTAATTCTAAAGGCAGTCCTGTTCTTCTCTGGATTTCTTGTACTTATTAAATTTAAACTTAGTAAACAGATACTTGTACTAACTAATGCTTTGCTCCCTGTTCATACAGTGAAATGCTCGTCCACGCTGTCCTGAATCAAACCGAGATTGATAATGATAGGAAAATTCAGATATGTATGCCAAGACTATAATCTTGTAGTTTCCTATGAGTCTTTTTGACACCTGTCTTTTGTGTGTATTTTTTTTCCTGTAGGTGTATTTGTATTTTTAGTGAATTCTTAATATACGGTTTGCTGCTTCATTTGTTTAAAGCTGTTCTACTCATTTTAAAAATTTCAATGAAATTCTTTCCTGGATGACAATTCAGATTCCTGACTCTCCTTCAGCTTAAAAAGGAGCACTATTAATGGTTTTGTTCATATAGCTTAGATTTATTTTGTTGTTATTCTCTAGCTCCTACTCTTCAGGTATAGCTATTTTGGTATTATAAAGAATGATGGATTATATAGGAAAGTTTCTTTTGAAGCACTCCTGATATTGTGCAATGCACTTGGGGGTCAGCTACACTTGACTGATGCATGATTTATCCGATGTCCCTGCCACTTTCTGAGATAAAGCTGCTATTTTATCAAAAATGCCAGCAAGTGTGATTTAGGATTTATACACCTCCTTTTTCAAATAATTGTTCTGATTACTTTCTGGCACGGCAATAAAATGATAAAGGTAATTGCACACAAATGTGAGATAGCACCAAAATACAATAAAATTAACCTGAATTAGCTTGACTTGTCGATGAGAAGTATTTATGAAATGTATTTTTGCAATAAGGGAGACTGATATTATAGCTGGAAGGTGAGTTATTGCCTTAATGTAATACTGTTTGAAATTTAAAAAAGAGACTGTTACAGTTGAGGGTGATTGTGCCTTTGAAATTAAGTTGAAGTGATTCTTATAATTGGCAGCAATAATGCATTGTGAAGGTAATATCTTTTATTGTGTTATGCCTAGTTGCATTATCTTTTATTTAGCTGGTCCTGACTTCAGCTCTGCAGAGAATGCAAGAAGGAGCAGATCAAGAATTTTGTGGATTTAGGTGATAAAAATTTGAAATGTTACCTAATATTAAAGTCATTCTTCTGCTAGATTTTTTTCATTTTTAGCCCATTTCCAGTTCCCCTGAACCTGACACGAGTCTCATTTGATTAAACTTTCATCTCTTTACCTTGTATTAGAGTAGTTGCCGCATATTTACATACACAGCCGAACCCTGTAGCAGCAGAGCACTTGAACCTTGTTATACATATGTATGCATGCAGATACAGCAGGTGGTGATTTTGGCAGTTAAATTTTGTATTTTGCAGTGACTCGAAGCATAACCTCCCCTTATTAAAAAGTACATACACACTTTTACAGCAAGGGCTTCTGTAGCACTAAGCACTTCAGTGGTCATTAAGGAGTAGATCTTAAAATGTTGACTAATATCTTGAATTTATTTTTTGAAGCGATGAACGCTCTGGAAAATCCCGACAGCTGTGATGTCTTGTTTTCCTTTGTGTGAAACTTGTTAAAACTCAAAAAAAGTAACATCTAGATATTCATTTTGGAGACCCTCTAATACCGAGAGACCATATTCTTTATCTTTGATTCTTTAGCGTGGTTCTTGTTTCTTTAGTTGTTTGGTGACAAATTCCTTAATTATGAGTTAGTGTTTTATTATGCGTGATTACACGGTAAAACTGAACAAAGTAAGCACAGCTTTGTGGTGCATCGCACTGTGCTTCTAACGGACTCTTCTGGCATGTGGGTTGCAGTCTCAAAATAAGGGGGTGCCTAATCCATTTGTGGGCTGTCGCTACGGTGAGAGTGACAACATGCTTCCACATGCCATGGTAGCTACACCAAGCAATGGGGCTTCCAGGATGAGTACTGGTGGGATTTAGAGATACGTCCTGACAGCAAGGAATGTACACAGTGGTGACTTCGGTCTTTGCTATTGGAGGTATTGTTTGATTATTACAGAAATGTCTGGCCCTGTCTTGTCTGTGTTTTCCTGTTCTTGGCACTTCGTTTCTTGCCCAATTCTGCTCCAATAAATTATGTTATCTCTAGGCAGCCCACCTTTTTAGACAAGCTATCCTAAAGTGGGTGTCTCGAAGCTTGTCAGGCTGTTTCCCTTCCTTTTTTTCCTGGGTGCCGAGATGCATCCTAGGGACGGCATCGGCCAGTCCTGCAACCTTGATGCTGACCCACTGCAACCACCGATTTGTACAGTTTATTAACACCGCACTCTCTAATGGCCTTTTACTTGTATGCTGCATGTAAACATTTCACTGCTTTCAAAACGTTCATCTTAGCTTCATGTTAATGATATGAAAAGATGACATAAATGTTCTACAGTACGTGTGGTTTAAACTGTGATGTGGCCACAGCAGTGGCTGCTGCACTTGCGTAGCGTTTAGTTTGCTTATGGAATCATAGAACTGTTCGGGTTGGGAAAGATCACTGAGTCCAACCGTTACCCCGGCACTGCCAAGCCCACCGCCAGACCATGTCCCTCAGCACCACATCTACACGGCTTTAAAATCCCTCCAGGGATGGTGACTCAGCCTCAGACTTCCCTGGGCAGCCTGTTCCGCTGCTTGACAACACTTTATGTGAGTAAGAGCTGGGGGAAGGTACAAAATGTGTTTGTTTACTTGGTTTTGGAGAGGTATTGGAGGAAATAGTATATCTGAATTCCTGTTTAAACAGTCCACCGAGGTCTTGTGTTTAAGTATCTGCTGCTACTAATGTCTCAAATCAAAGCTTGGGAATAGATGCAGTAGGAAAATACGCTTCTGGAATGCAATAGCAACAACCTACCTGCCTCTTCTAAAGGAGAACAAAATTGTTTTATTACAATTAAAATACCATCCCTTAAGTAAAATAAAGTGTGAGGTATCCCTGGTAAGCACGCTGGGAATTTGCCATTTGACAGACCAGGATTACTCCTCTCTGCCAAAGCAACAGACTGAAGCGGTAGCCAAAGAGCCAGAGGCTACCACTGCTTGGAAATACGCTTTTATAGCTTGGCATTTCGGGGTCTTTTGATTGCCATCCAGAGAGGATTAGTAGTATAATACGATGGGACAACAGAAACTTGCTTTTGTTGTCTTTGATTGTTTAATAAAGAATTATGTGTTTGCTCTTGTTGAATACTTTTAAAATGCCGCAGAAAGCAAATGTTGCTCTCCGTACGTGAACATGTATCCCTCTGGTTTGTCAGGGGCTTCTGTGAGGTGGACCTTTTAATAAGTGAAGGTGGGGACTAATTTTTAGCGGCTGCTGTGCCAGGGTATA